CGCAGATAACGCAAATTACCCCTTCAACCGGAGCGAAAAGAAGAAAAAAAAGAAGATGAAGGGAGAACATGAAGAAGATGAAACCGAAGTCGGGAGGGGAAAAGAAACGAAACGAAAAAGGAATCCAACACTAGCAGATAGATACCATTCATGCCACTGAATCGATATGTAAGTATGCGCTTCCACGAGATCGGATCCACCCCGAGCTTCAACTGGCGCAAAGTTATCACCGAATACTTTAACAACATTTCAGTGTATACACGATTCCTGCTTTCAATTTAATTCATTCGCATTATTGACCAAACAATTTTACTAAACTATCATATCAATTCCGATATTCAAGGTCATTTGTATACAAGCTATTGAATCCTGTTAATTAGACCTGTACAAGGTACGGCTTTCATGATCCTAATTACATTTGACAATTAAATCAATCGAAATATTGACGTATTTAAAATAGTTGAAATTATATAACTTTACAATTTATTCTAGAAAGCAACATGCGGATCGATCGAAAAATCGAGCTATGTTTTGCATAATATAGTTTAATTGGATATTGGCTAGGTGCGACATGTTTAATAATTAATACTATTGAATCGCGGATTTGCGCAAACAATCCAATTGTGCAGTTTTCGGCGCGAGTTAATTGAGTTACAATCAAAAACGGACGTCCACTTGAATATTTCATGCAGCCGCGAGGTTTCGACGCGCCGCGCCTGGAAATCAGCTTAAGGATTAGCCTTCCCAGGATAGGACTTTGATTGCGCAAACAAACCAAATGCACCACCAAGCTGTTTTTTTTGTATTATTGTTCCCATTGAACGATCACCTCGACAGAGAGCAGGTGGAGAATTATGGTATAATTGCTGGAGTGTGTTTAATTATAATTCGACTAATTTGCAGATTGTAATTTTGAAGGATTCATGAGAACGCCGACGTCTGGCATTTCTGTTATATATATATATTTTTTTTAGTTAGTTATATATTTTAAACGAGCTTCCGCCAAATTGGGGCAAATCATCAAATTATCTCTCGCTCTTGCACACACACACATATATATAGACACATTTGCCCTTCATTTTTTGTTTCCCCTTTCCTATTCATCCGACCATCATCAAATTGATGATGATCGCAAGGCTCGTGCAAAAAATTAGAAATTATAGAATCACCGAAATGAAAATAAACTGCAACGCATCGATGATGTAAACTCTGCATCTCATAAATTAACTTCCATTCCTATAACTTTTATATAACTTTTTATATATTCAATATAATATTGTTATCCACAATATTCTTAATTCAGTTTTTCGTGCAAATTTGTTACAAAACTAAAATTCGCTATAAATGTATCAAAGAGTTAAAATAAAATAATCTAGTATAGGAAGTGATTTAAAGCAAATTGTCGATGCTCAGCTTTAGATATCAAGAGGAAAATTTATACTTGATTCTGCAGGTGAAGTTATTGATTTTGACATTAAACCACCGCCGACCGAAGCATAAAACACGCTGTGTATGAAATTGTCCTGATAACAGGACGAAATGCGAATTTGATACACAACCTGTTAATCCGCGCGATGCCCTATTAAAATCATAATTTTCCGGGCGAACTTCGAGATGCAGTCTCGACAGGAAAATGATACATTTTTAGTGTACGTTGATGGCCCATAAAAATATTTATTTTCCCCGCACAACAGATGATATATGGCGCGAGGCGTCCAATTAACTATGAAAACTTTCATAGAAATGAATTTCAATAAACCGTAATACTTTTCGGGTCGGAGTGATTGAACTCTTACTGTGTGAATTAGCAAATAGGCCGCATCGAAAATCGGTCATCAGTGGATGCAATTAGCTTAGTGATCTATTTGTTAAACATTGGCTTCTAGATTACACGGCATTAGTGCGTGTCAAGGTATTACGTGCTGAAACTAAACTGTCCGTGACCACAAACTGCAATTCCAAAATATAGACAAAGGTTTCTGTTGTATTGACCATAGTTTCTTTAGAGCTTTAAATCATTAAATTTGATGATTTTAATATAACAGCATTAAATGGATGAAGATTGTATTTGTTGTTTTTTTTAAACTATTAATTTCAATGGGTTTCTATGTGATCCTTGAAGAGAACTTTAAAAGTGCAGGAAGGATAAAAAACAGGTTGGCGTGCCTTGCGGAGGTTAAAAGATGATAGGTTGCGTGACTTAAGCCGTTGCCAACTTATTCTTTATGAATTCTCTTGCAGGGGTTCAGCACTGTGAACGGGATTACATCGATATAAAGTTGAAAGTTTCCGTGGAATTATTGCAGGTCCACACGTGCGGGCGCCGCATGTTCCTCGTCGAACATGCATTATTTATGTACACTGGTAATGATATCCTTGCGGAGGAGGAAGAAGAAGAAGTCTTTGTTGCGATGGGAAAGGGGTGATTCCGGAGAAGTTGTTTCCCCGTCGGGGAGGGATGCGCGTTAGTGTCATCGCCAGTTGAGGCCCCCCAGCGACCAAACACGTTCCCCATTATGTGTTCATGTACAAGAAGGTGACCAAAATGCTCCAAATATTCGGGAACAGTCGCATGCTTTCCCAGTGCTATGCTGGGAATGCCGTCACCCATTTTATTCCAGCAGAATGCAAGCTGAAAAATTAATTACATACACACCTACAACAAAAATATATGTTGATGAGAATCTTAATCGAGCAAGAAATTTAGTGTAACCTGCGTACACACTGAAACAAAGTATATTGAAATTTTAAGAGAAATTTAAGGGTAGTAATTAAATATAATGTCATCGATGATTAACTTGTACCTAGTACACTTTGCAAATTAAATCTGTCAATTCATAATTAGATACCATTGTAGTTCATTGGAAACTGGCCAAATTGTGCAAGACACAGGCTAAAGTTTATGTAATATTATATTTGCATATATATAATACATAATTGGAACTTTTATGTTTATTATACAAAAAATATATTTTTAATTTACTTAATTTTCAATTATTTAGAACTATACCAATATTTTAGTTATTGTATCTAGCTTATATACAGGTCTTGTATACACATTATTTGTAAGCTATAGAATGTGGAATATTCTGTGAACGTTATATTTGAGCACCGATTATCAAAACCTATGTCAATATTAAGACAGGATGTATCTCCAACCTTCAGCAGAGTTATTTTCTCCACACAATCACTAGGCCTATATTCATACTATATTAGTTTCGATTACTTAGTCTTTTATGTTGTGTAAATTGCTTTTCAAGTAGCCGCCGCAGGGCTGTAAGAATGTGAGGCGTACAAGAAATACATTTGACCTGAGAAACTGTAACATATCTTTCAGTTTTATTTTTAGAAAGAATATTAGTTCTAGTTCTTTCAGAGTGCATATAGGTATTCATTAATATTACATATTGTTTAACAGAATATTATATTCTTAGATTATATCAAGTTGTTGAAGGATTATTTTCTATGAATACTTGATTTTTTTTTTGGAACAAATTTTCTGTATAGAGTAAATCCACTTGAATGTTAGTATTATTCCTCATTCTTCTTTAATTTAAAGTTTATAATTGATTATCATATATTTTTCAACATATAATTTAAATATTAAATTTTCAGTATGTTATTTGTAGGTTGGCTACAAATCGCTTTTGTTTTTCTAGCATGGATGGAGCGCCATCAGTTGTGCAGGTTACTAAGTTACTCAGAGTAATTCAGTTCCATCAAATCAAATTATTTTAGCTTAGAAATTCATTTTGAAAGATTATACAATTAATATCCTTTCCTACTTTTTGTAGTCTTCGTTTATAAAACCTTTGTCACAAGTATTGTTCTAAATGAAATGAAAATTATGATAAATTCGTTGCCCAATTTCCATTTTAAAATATTTAATTAATATCTACTCCAAGAATGTATATCATTATAGTAAGATTATATATGTAATCGTTTTTACAACTAGTTTTTGTGACAAATCCTATATATATGAGTATGTATTACTCTTCTTGGCTCAACTTTCAATCCCGTTGAGACTGACTATTATAGGTATTAGATTTCCTTTACTGAAAACGTGTCCTGAAAACAAACAAGAAAATGGGGTCTGTTCGATGCAACAATCAGATAGATCTATAAGCAAAGCAGCGATAGGTCAGCCCAGTACACAGAGGCGTGCAACACGTTACTTGATTTCTTGCCAATTTGGCCTGTGTGAAATTAATGTGGCCAGGTCGAAATTGCGAATCGTAAATTAAACGCGCGGCGCTCTTCAATCGAGACACCGGCCATTATCCTTCGATTCTTCTTTTTTTTTTCTGGTCTCGTTCCTCGAGAAGGGAACAACAAGGTAGGCGGCGGGTGGCTTGCAGTAAATTACTTGTCAGGACCCCACCAAGAATATAAAAAAAAAAAACAGGGGAGTGCGGGGGTGGTTGATGTGAGTGCGAGTGCGGGTCAAAAACACTGTCCGCCAGCGGACACTATTAATTTCCTGGTGCCGGGGCCGTGCCAATCCATCTACCCAGAAAAGTCGTTAACCAAGAGTCCTTGTCAAACATTGACTATCGGGAGATGAAGTGCTGGGCGGAGGGTGGTAGGCCTTTGAATTAAGATGATCCTTATTTTGGGTCCCTTTTTCTCGCTCTCGGTCTATTTCTCCTCTTCCCTGCCGAAAGGATTTTGGGGCCGGACGTGGATCTTGGGGGGATTAGTCGACGGGGGCTGGTTTATTGATACGCTGGTTACGAAGCCGAGTTTGGTGCAAAACTGCGGATCCTTCGTCGGCATTCGTCGATCTCCGGATTTCGTTGGTGGGGGTGGGAGGAATGGATGGATGGACGAACGGTGTGTGTTGGTGCGGCTGTGGCGGTTTGGGATGGGGATCGTTTGGGGGGGTGGCGACGGTGAGGGAACCTCTTTTGGAAGGATGTTAAGATTGATGCGCGGTTTGGTTTTGATATAGAATTGTAATTTGATGGTTCGAAATTATGTAATTAGAACCAGTCGAGTAATCAAATGTTTTCGAAGGGGGATGCTTTGAAGGAGATGGGATTAAGTTGTCGGGATGAATGAACATGAATGAGGAGGGAGCGAGTGGGAAAAATAAAGATGACGGTGGTATAGTGAGGGGGAGATGACAAAGAAGGGATTTGTTGCTTGAATTTTTTGATGATTGGGATGTTGGATTGGGGATGATGGTTTATTGCTATTATTACCTTGCAGTCTTCGCATCGGTGCTTTATAGAATACTTTTGCGTGCAGTCGTAGCGGTACAAAATTCCGGCGAATTCGCAGGTGAGTCGAGCCGCCAACGCGTCCACCTCCAGCAGGCCGTCCAGCAGGTGAAGGCAGTCCTGGCCGCCCTGAAGGACCCTCTCGGGGAGGGCCGAGATCGCGGTGTGCTCGCAGCAGTGACGCATCCGGAGTTTTTTCAGCTCGTCCCGCCTGCGCTCGGGACTGAAACCGCGGCCGCACACCTTCTCTTTGTGCGAGTCATTCATGTAAAAAAGGCACTGAGTTGTGGAGTTGTATTGGGTGCAGGGCGGCGGACAGCGGGGCCCGGGGCCCCACATGGCGGAACACGCGCCCTTCAAGTCGGTCGCGCTGGCGGGCTGCAGGTCGCACGCCGACAACCAGGGGTTGATGGTTTCGAGCGGCGGCGTCTGCTGCTGTGACGACGGCGGATGGTGGTGGGTGGCGAACGCCAGGGCGGCCATCAGGAGCAGCGACAGGCCCGGCGGGGCCCGGGGCATTCTGCGGGGCAGGGCGCGGTGGCGGCTGCGGCTGCGGCTCGGTAGTCGGCAGCTACTGGAGCCGGGAGCATCGCTGCGGGCGGCCGGAGTGCCCCCCCGCGCGGCTCCGAACGCCCCCGGGGGCCGATTGCCGGGGCCCGCTAGGCCGCCCGAGTGCGGGCCCCCCACAGCCCTCGCTCATGCTGCTGCATCCTTCCCGATGCACATCACATCACTGCACAACACTCTAGACGTTCCCGAGGTGGGCCGCCATCTTGAGAAGGGTATGTTGGTCACAATCCTTCCCGCCCGGGCGCGAGCTGTGCCGGCCGACTATCGCTCGACACTGGCGCGGCGGCGGCGGCGGTGGAGGCGGAGGCTCGCACCGCGCACGCCCCCGCCGTCACCGCCGCACACGCTCTCGCCCCATGTACCATCTCTCTCTCTTTTGCCGCCACCGCGCACAATCGATACGCCACCCCCAGGCCCAAATCAATTGCGCCACCTCGACGTCCCGGCCCTCCAACTCTTGCAAAACACAGCTGGTGACCACCCTTCGTACGAACCTATACCACCCTCCAAGAGATGGCGTCTCTACTGACAGCGAGGCGTGGTCTTTGGCGGATCCGCCTATCCCCCCTCTCTCCGACTCTCCGTTTTCCCCATGTTCTAAACATTCACAACCAAACAAACTATTTGAATTCCAAACACAACTTTGCTAATCATTGCCCACAACTGCTAACACACACAACTCTTACTTGTCTACCCCAAAACAGTGCTCATGGAAGCATAGAAAAGTAACATAACATATTTTTTACAATCCTGTCAAACGATGTACATAAAAAATAACTAGTAAAACTTTGACAATTTCCTAGTTTAGTAATTTCATATTTTATCTCTTGACCAAATAACAATTATAAATCGAACGTAATCTCAAATGAATGAATATTTAGCTTTAATTTGGTTGATCAACAATGAATTTGACACACTTATTTATACGAGATATAAGAAAATACATAAAGTTGATGAAAAACGGTTGAAAACGATATGCTCTTACTCTATTATAGTGACTATAATAAAGTAGTACGTTATACGAGTTTTAACAGTAATTCATATTTCATACTTCAAGCAAACCATAATACTTTGTATTAAAGAAAAATATAATTGTAACAAAAATGTAAGTTGAAAGGGAAAATGACCAAAAATAGTAATTGTTTATCATTTTTATTCAAACAAACAAAAAAAATAATTATCATAAATAACTGTATAAGACTGTAGCAGATGGATAGAATCATTATTTTTAAAATTCGAATACGTTTGCGGAATAGTCAAAATGTCATCTAAATTATATCCTGGAATTCTAAAATTCTGCCATTTGTTATTGATTCACACAATCAGAATATACAACTAATAAAGCTACAGTAAAGAAAACGAAATTACGCTTACATTAATTACACAATAATAACTAAATACTTATATAGTATATTGTCTAAACGTGCATTGGTCCCAAAAGAAAAACTATGACTTTGAGGACGTCTAAATGGAAATTAAAATACAATAGATCATCACAGCGACGAGATTCCCTTATAAAAGGAATTAATAATATTTTTTTTTTGTTTGTTTTTTTTCTCTTCTTCTTCTTCTTCGCGTTTACAAACTATTTACACATTTACGGGAAGATATAAAGATAATTATTGTAATAGTAGTAATAATAATAAAAGGGGATTAAGTAAAATGATAATAGTAATAGTAAATTAAAACGAAAAAAAGGTGGTTAAGGGGTTATTGCTTTGCATACAAAATTGAGAAAGATCATCCAGCATTTTGCTTTATCCTTGCAGGTCGTAGCAGCTCTGAAAACATCAGTCCATGCGCGTCCCCCGTAGAATTTTCTAATAAATATTTTATACTTCTGGAGCACATAATAAAGTCTACATTCTGGTGCCAAGGAAGAAGCTCCTAGAAGGCCAAGAGGAGAGCCAAAACCGTCATTAATAAAACTAGTGACGAGGGATTGAGAAACTGAGATCCATTTTCCGAAAATGTGTTTGAATGGCGACCAGCTGACGTCTCGTTTTCTCTATGATAAAAATCTAAAAAATCATATATTAATCACAGGGTTGAACACGTACTTCATATTAGAAAAAGCGATTTGCTCTCAATTATTATTTTTTTTATTGCTGTGAAGCAAACATATTTGAAATGATTTCGAACGAACGACAAAGCATGATTCGTGTTATTTTCTTCTCCTTGAAGTACAGAACGAAATCGAATTCGTCAAACCAGAATTTTCAGATTCCATTCTGTTTCCTTTAGTTAGGTTTTTGAACTGTTTCGCTATCTTAATAGAATTATTATAGTATAATGAAATATGACATACTTATGAAACATTAGATTTTGAGGCTGCGGCTCTCAGTATCTTGCACGTCGATGAAGATAGGACTCTGGAATGTAGCCGTGTCCAATATTAAATATAGACCGAAGTCTACTCACAACTATATCGAAATATATTTTTGTATTAGAAGCTGAACCAAAATTTTAGAGGACAGAAAACCCACTCGAGGAGAAAGTGTGTTAGTTTTATAGATTTCCAATATATAGTGGTGAAAATTGAAAAAAAAAATAATTGTCTAGTAATCTATAATAGTAAAGCATGCTTAGGTTTAGACGCAAGCAAGTGGATGATACAAAGCGCATTCAACAAAGACCACACGGAAGAACAAACATCAAATTCAAAATAAATGCAAATACATACATCCGAGGAGAGCGAGTCTTAGTACCTAAGTTCCAGTTAATATATATACACCTTCTTTTTTTTTTTATTTAAGTAATGGTCAAGATTTCCTACCTGAGTCGAAATTTGGGTCCGAATCGCTAAAGTTGTAGTCGCTGATATCGCTCTCCTCAGTTGTCACAAGAAGCCCTGTTTTACCTATGGTACCCCGAGGGGCTTCCTTGCAACCGAACCACCAATAGGCAGCCGACCTTGGGAAGGCCGGATTCACGGAGTCCACGGAGAACGTGCGATCGTTGAACCTATAATAAGCTCCATCTTTGAAGAAGTACGTGTAACCGTTGTTATCCTTGAAGGCGGCATCCAGATTGTCAGGTAATCCTTCCCAATTTGAGATCGGTTTCGGGTATCCGCTCTTCACCGGAGGCCTTTGCATCGGATCGAAACGCCAGAATTTAGTTCCTGAAACATTATAATCAATTATAATAAATCTCATTTATTATAATTGCAAAAATCGATTATACCTTTGTAGAAGTAGATCTTTCCGTTGCCGCTCCAAACCGTGGCAGCATCCAAATTATCGGGGATTCCGGTGAAACCAGTAGAAATATCTTTAGGATAATCTCCATCCACTTTACGACCTGCGTACCTCCAGTATTGCTTTCCTTTGAAGAAGTAGCTCTTTCCGTTTTTGTATGTAAATGCTGCATCGATGTCGCCTGGAAGACCGGGCCATCCTTTCGTGATCAATTTCGGGTATCCGCTCATGACCCTATCATCGCTTAACTGCCAGTATTTATCGCCCTTGAAGACGTAGACTTCTCCACCAGCAGATTTAAAGATTGTGTCGAAGGACGAATCCTTGCAGAGATTATCATCTGAAGTGACCGATGGTTCGGTCGGTTCAAACGGCTTTGGTTGTTTCTGCGGAGGATCAACTCGGCGACTCGTCTTCTTGCCGTACAACGCTTGGATACCATCAACATCATCCTGATCCAACTCGAAGAACGGTTCGTAACCTCTGTAGAATGGAGCCATCAGAGCCGATCGCACATCGGAATGACTCAGACCGAGTGAATGACCGAATTCGTGAGCCGCCACCTGGAACAGGTTCGTCCCTCTGTAGCTTCCGATCGTCCACGTTTCAGACGCGTCAAAATGAGCATCACCACCGTAAATCTAAAAAGCAGAAATCGTAAATTATACACAAGTCCATCACTTTGCTTGAAATATATAACTTACAGGGAAGTAAGCATGAGCCAAAGTTCCTCCAGGTCCGTCGAAAGGATCTCCATCTCCGTGCTCACCCGACTCGAATCTAATATCAATGTGAACCTTTCCAGTCGCAGGTTTGAAGTTCAAATCCGTGTACCCAGTCCAAACGTCGAACGCCTTCTGGAGCTCCTTATCGACCTCCGACTGCTTCAAGTTCTTCGGGTACTTGGAAATCCTGTACGTCAGATTTTTCGCCTTCCACCTGCTCCCTACAAACGCAATACAACAAGTTCATTGTTTTGCTCTTCACAATGAGTGTGAGTGTGTGCATCAGAGCGCGATGGACCGGAACTCCGGCATCAAGAGCTTCGTACAATAAATAGTAACGACATTCCCGTTACCGTTCTTTATTTTTATAAACGACTCTCTGTTCGTTGCAACACAGAAATGAATGAATGAATGAATGAAAATAGGTGCATTTATCGAACCTTGAAGTGCGTATCTCTTGGATCTGCTGTCGCTCCCGGTTCCCACTTTGTCCTGCACGCCGCATCTCGGCAAAGACATCACCGTGATGGTCTCCTTGTCCAGTTCACCTGAAAACAGAACCAAATCCATCGTTAACCTTAACCCGAAAACCATTTAAAGAGAGGTTTAATCATTGGCTATTACTGTTAGAGTAGGTCGCCAATGCGAAACCGGATGTGACGGATTCACGAGGACATGCATTTATACATACGACATACGACATACCTGTGATGTTAAGACCAGCGAAGCTTTGGAAATCAGCCACCGCTTTGGAAAATTTATGCTCGTCCATTATTGAGCTCGAATTGAATCGCGTTTTTGCTATATATCCGTACTGTGATAGATACAACTGTAACAGAAACCAATAAAAGTCATCAGTATTTTTGATATTTTAAAATATTCAATTCCTGCGATTCGAACGTACAAGAAAGTGAACGTCCACATTGGAACGACTTAATAGATGCTAAACCACAGAAAGATCGTGCAACGCTTGCAAAATTTAGCCATGTATAAGAAGAGAAGAAACAACCATAAATAGTGAATGAGAATGGAATATAGAATAAGTTTTTTTCAAATCATTTGGTAAAATAGAAGAAAAAAATATTTATTTATTGTATTCAACACTTTAAAGAAATCAACGTTAAATTAATCTTGCATTCTCTTGAAGAAGGAACATATTTCAAAATAAACTATTTTTTAATATGTGTTTTGAGAATGAAACTAATCTTGCGTTAATATTATTTTGCTAAAGGCTAATGACCCAAGCAAATTTTATCGTTGTTAAATAATAGGCGCAGATAAACCGTGAAGCAAATTTTCACAAATCGTTGATGATAAAGCTGTGATTCATTTGCAGTTGACGCATCTTTCAATATTGATTTAAATAATTGTTGCACATTTATGCTGTTTATGCAATTTTTGTATAAATAACATCTGTGTATGAATTGAAGAAATTGTGGAAAGAAATCATTGACTCAATGAAATGTAATTTATAACTGGAAATCGTTAACCTTTGATCTTGAAATCTTGAAATATGTCCATACAAAATTAGCATTGTATTTTTCGCAGATGAAATTGTTGTTATTATTTTTTTTCTATCTCGTCTCATTGTTGAACCTCGAATTAGCATACAGTATTTTTTTCCTCACTGATTTAATGTGGGACAGACTGGGCTCGGTTTTCTGAATGAATGAATCAGTATGATACGCCTACAACTCAGAGAGTTTACTAAGAAATCGATATGAATAGTTGTAAAGGTAAAATAGCTGTAGAATTACTCACCGTCTCTGCATAATGGCAATTAAATGAGACGAGAGAGAGAGAAAAAAAAATGATTAGCAATGCGAATAACGCACATTTATGACAAAGTTTGTAAATATTGTTGGAAATCTGCGAGTACAAGGTACAAAGTTTTTTTTTTTGCAGTAATCGCACTTGCAAATTGGATTAATTTGTTTAGCGAGAATCAGGTTGTTAATTGCACGCAGTTAAAGTGCATTTCCTTAAACGCTATACAAAGACATGCATCTCTGCACATGATAGATCAATCCACTTGAAGGCTGTCAAACTGTACCTGTGCATTTTTTACTTGTTTCTCTTGTCATCTTAACAATAAACAGATCTTAGTCTATTCAAATTGTTCTGTTCATCTCGTAAATTCATATTTTTTTGTTGTTGTTGCTTTATACGAAACCGAAATTGCGTATGCACATTTCAATGCCAACGCGGCAATTTTGTGTTTCGTCCATGATGGATGGATGGATGAGCTTCGACCGCAAAAGTCATGAAATTTTAATGATTTACACCGAAGGATCCTTTATCTTATTTGTATTATCTGCGCAGACGATACGACTAAACAAACGAAGTTTGTTCACCTTGGTAACAACAACGTTATGATTTATTTATGTATTTAGTGATTCGCTGCTTCATTAGCTTCATTATCTATAGCATTTTGCAATGTTAATGGGTTCATATCTAAACCCGTTAACATTGCATACGCAAACGCAATTTTGAATGAGTAAATAGTTTTCAGAATAGTTGTTAAAAAATATATATATGTGTAGAGATTTATGTGAACTATGTTGGATTTATCGGAATTACTTTGTTTTAGTATCAAAACAGTTAATTACGAAACAATCGCCTTAAGCAATTTGATTTGAAAACATGGTAATAATTTATTTTCTAAATAACAAATCGCAATTTTTATTAGTACTAAAATTAATTAATTGCTGTTCTAAAATCAATTGATATTGAAACATTGAAAAATTTTACTAAATAATGAAATCTGAAGCTTTTTTTTAAATTTTTGTTTATTTACAGTCAATGAAAATTCGTTAAAAAATAGTTTTTATTCGTATCTCAGAAAATCCAATTTTTATGATTAATAAAATTAATTAACTTTGCAAAGTTATTAAATGTGAAAAATGACTAATTTATTAAATCAGAAGAACACAATTAAAGAGAATGAAATTATATAGTAAATAGAAAGTAATGTACTACGAAAAAAGTAACTTTAAAATTGATAATTAATTTTGAATTTGCATAAAAAATAAAGTTAATTTTTATTACAACATTAGTGGATAAAAAGTTTAACTGTGAAATTTGTTAACTTTTATATTTTCTATAGAATTAATGAAAATACTTGAAAACAAATCAGTAAAATTTGTGATTTTATTTCTATTGATTTTATATATTTTACTATTTCAATAAATAATACAGTAATATTTTCTAGTAGATATTTTTGATTTATGTATTTTTCTATAGATCTGCATGTAAATTAATGAAAGTACTTTAAATATTTAGAAATATTTCTCGTTTATAAATTTGATTTTATGTATATTTTAAGTAAATTTATTATTAATTTTTTTTGTACATTTTCAATAGAAATAATTTAATGATTCAATAAAATAGGAAAATTGAAAATAATAATAGAATTAACTTCTTTAATTTGCAACAATTTTGTAATAATATTAAATATTTTACATTTTTACTAGAAATATTTTTTTCTCAGAAAAAAAACACATGTATGATATAATTTTCATATGAATTCCATTAAATTAATGTAATTACGTTTTGGAAGCATCACGGGTTGCATAACGCGTTTCTAGAACTGTTTCACATTTCCCGGAACACAAACTAAATCGTTGCGTCCGAACATCGAAAATTCATTGTTATTTTTACAATTAACAATGTTTATTTCAATCAACAAAAAAATAAAAATACATGTAAACGAAAATAATACAGTGAATTTAAACAATATATTCAATTACATTTTCATTAAAACTGTTGTAAATCACTGATTTTTTTCTATTATAAATCACTTCACAAGTTAATTATTTGTATTTTTGTCCAATTAATAATGTTTATTTCATTCAATCATAAAATAAACATGTATAAACTAAAATTATAACTAATTTAAATTAGAAGTTTTACATGTTTAACATTCAACAAAAATGTAATTAATATTGTTGTAAATTGCGGATTTAATGGAAAATTGATTGGATTTTTCAATTAACAATGTTTATTTTATTGCAGAAAAAAATTCCATGTATAAACAAAAAATTTAATTACAAGTTTAACATTCATCCAAATTTTCATTAATATTGTTGTAAATCGCTGATTTTTTTCAATTATTGATAGAAAATTGATTGTATATCTTACTAATTATCAATGTTTATTTCATTCCAGAAAAAATACACGTATAAACGAAAATGACAACTATTTTAATTATAAGTTTTTCTTGTTTAACATTCAACAAAAAAATAATTAATATTGTTGTAAATTGCTGAATTAATGGAAAGTTCTTTATATTTTTTTCATTTAACAATATTTCTTTCATTCCAGAAAAAAAATAACATGTATGAACGAAAATGACAACTATTTTAATTTGAATTTTTCATGTTAAAATTTTAATGAATATTGTTGATTTTTTTCTATTATAAATCACTTCGTGGTATATGAAAATTGTAGGAAATTCAAAGCAATTAACTCAAAAAAAAAAGTACACGTGTCCGAGAATGTAATAGATCTGTGTATCTATGTGTATTTAGGCTTATTATGCGCTTCTGTTTGACATTCATCGAATCAATTAAATGTAATTTACCGGAAACGTCTGAATGGCGAGTCATGTGGAGGCAACATGAATCAACTCACTGTACGTGAAAATAAAATAAACTAATAATTGACAATAAAAAAAAAGAAACGACACCGACGAGTTAATATGAATGCATATAAAAAAAAAAGAAGAGGAAGGAAGAGCAGACTCGGTGTGATTCATGGCGTTTAATTAGTAACCACATGGACGCACTTTTCGCCTTCAATAACCGCAGAGAAAGAAGTGCATTCAAGAAGACTTATCCGCTCTTTAACTAATTATTTATGAATTTATGTTTTCATCATCATCACGAAACGGATTTTATAATTGAAGTGAATGTTTTGGCTCGTATGGTAATGGCAGTGGCAATGAACCAAGCGAAATTGTCGTATCTCAATGTCATCAAAAATAGAATCATGCACCGCATGAATTATTTATATTCACGTGTGTTTGTATATTATATACATATGTATATAAATATATAATAAATACATAATGGTGATATGTGTGTGTGCATGGAACAACAAATCGCGACACAATGGGAAATAAAGGTTGAAGAAGAGAAAAATAAAAGAAGTTGCTCGGATATTCACGTTTACGTGATTAATATGAAAGAATAAATAATATCGGCAATTAACAAATGAGGCGAAATAACAAAACAAAACAAAAAAAAATGTAATAATCCTCGTTACCTTCGCAATTATTCCGATCACAGATGCGTGCATAATTCCATACAATTTTTACTTATAGTAACCTTATATTGGAAAATTTCTATTATGCATGTAACTTTTCGCTCGTTATATAAACTATAAATAATTCAAAATCGCCACTTCACGTTTCGGTGCTATTATATAATCTTTAGCGAATAGCAGAAGCAGCAGAGAACAGAAAAAGAAAAAGAAGGAATAACTACGGCTAAATAAAATAAATAATGCATCAAGTCCGAACCGCTTTGGGAATTATAAAACGTCGCTGTCAAACGAAATATCAACTAAGCTTGAATTGAGACTTCGTTCAAGTTAATTATTTGTAAACATGCTTGGGATAGGCTGGATAACTGATTAAGAATTGATAAACTTATCCAACAACAAAAAATATATGTGAGTAGAAGGCGCGTCGCTACTTGAGAAATCAAACTATAAGATTATGAAAACCATCAAAAAACAAACGAAATATATTTTTGTTTTGTTAAAATTTAAGTTTAAAAACATTACATTCTTAAAATTAAACAGTTTGCTATGATTATTGGAATTTAT